GTAACAAAACTCGAGCCTTCAGAAACCTTCAATATTGATGACCGTGACAGCTATAGAACTCATATACAAGCAAGAAGACTAGGGTAATAGAATTAATGATCTTATTTCTTCAATATCAAATAACATGATTAACAGTCTCGGTTCAATACTTATCTTCTACTTCTGCAAATCTACGCACCAGAGCAGTAAAACCTATACACCTACAACTAAGAGCTGTTGAAAATGATGACGATGATGAAGAGAAACCCTACTGGGACGATGCAATAGATAAATACTTTAGATGCCGAAAACAGATGAATTCAGAAGCATGACTTACCCTAAGTACTTCTGAGACTATAACCTAAAAATTACACTACCATCACAATCCGCAAGACGATCCTGTACAAGAGACCAAAACAATCGTTACGTGATTAAAAGAAAAAAGCCCTTTCTTCTAAGATTCATAACCTATAAAGTAGAAGATAGTAAGCTTTAAATTTTAACTCGCAACATTATATAAAAAATTATATATTGCTTTATAACAATAATGATAATTATGAACATGCCGATTGCAATTTTGAACCTAAACTATCAAATTAATAACGATAATAATAATGATCATATAAAAATTTAAATGAATATAAACTAAAATTTTTATTAATCACGCCATACCTTAGGTGAGCCATTCTTCTTTCAATATCTTATAATGAAAATTCTATGCTACTCGGAAGAAGAACTTCTTGAAAACCATTCAACCTATCTTGAAAGATTTAAATTCCTATACCCTGACTATTATAAATGAGAAATAAACAGATTAACCAACACTACTGTATCTCAACAGATCCGAACCTCAACTGCATATAAAGAAATCATAAAAAATATACTTACCAACCTGAATAATATAGAACTTCACGAAATAATCCTCAATCAACTAATTTCTCTAGAACACAAAACACCTTCAATCGATCTACATTTTATACTAATACTAGACAAAGACCAATATCTAACTTATGACCTTCTTTGTAACTTCTGGGGACCAGAACATCAAGGCAAATATCCTTACTTCTTCCTAACTAGATTGGCCGGTACAGGTAAATCATATCTGTTACATATAATCATTAGCCTCTTAAATTCGAAAAAAATCAGTCACATCGTAATCGTGCTAACTGGTGTAGCTGCACAAAACATTGGTAGAAAAATGATTCATTTTGTACTAAAAATAAGGCAGACCTATTCACATTATGAAACCTTGGCAGTTCACAATCCAAATACAAAAGAAGATCTAAAAAAACTCGAAGCCATAATAATAGAGGAAATATCTATAGTTTCTAATGATTTATTCTCATTCATAAGTAACCTATTCGGCTCAATTCACAATAATTCAAAATTATTTGGAGGAATTCCCGTACTTCTAGTCAGAGATCTCTTTCAATTGCCACCAATAAACGCTCAACATGTATTTCACTCTCCTGTTTGAAAAAGATTTTTTCCACTATTTCTAACCCAACCTAAAAGGCAAAGAAACGACCCTAGCTTTTACAATCTACTTCAAGAATTACGAAATAATTGTCTTTCCAAAATATCAAAAAAAATGATCAAAGATAAAATCGATACCTCTGATCTCAATTACGGTACTATCTCCTCTACTCATCTTATAGATATACGTGAAACTGCTAAAGAAATTAATAAATTAATTTGCGATAACCTTCTAACTAACAAATATAGAATCAATTCAATAACCTCGAAAGCCATCAATAATCTACACCCAATTCTACAAATTCACACATACGCCATTATCTATTATAATAATAATCCCTTATATATATTTAAATTGAGATCTTGTCAATAGTATTGCAAAACTCTTTTTTTGCTTTTACCACTATTAATGATATATTCTGTTAATATCTTTATTTTCATTTCAGCTACGAATTTCAACTTTGATTTAAAAGCTCTATTGTAGATAGAATCTTTAAGTGACGTGTTATTGCTTATTTTCCTGACACAACAGATACATCTATCGAAATTAAAAAAGATAATAGTAAACTTAATATTTATTACCACATGATTTCGAGGACATAAATGATTATGAGATTATATAGTAGTCAAAGGTATACAGAATATTAAGTTTTATTAAATAAAGTAAAAGATAATTAATAAGAGAAGCAATGCTTAATATTTAACTAAGAAGAATAATTAAGAGAGAGTAAAAAACCAAACCTACCCAATAGTGCATATTTCAAGATAGATTGGGATTGTTTTTTTATCACAAGGTCTTTGTTTTATTTACCACAGTATTTTTTGTTGCATTGGAATAATTATCTATAATGTAGGAAAAAGCTGCTAGTAGATATTTATGATAATATAGACTGTTAATTAAGGCTAATTGTGTGTGGTGTTAGTAAGGCTGTCAAGTCATCAAATATATTTTTAGTGATAGTATTATAATTGTAATAACTATTTTGTATATCGTATAAAGATGGTCTTATCTTTAAAAACAAAGGCAAGTTCTTCTATATCACTTTAATGACAAATAAAATATTAAGAGAATTTTTTTTAGATTAATTTTATCCTTATTATCTTATAATTATTAAAAAATCATAAGACATAATATCTTCTACAAATAGAATATGACGTATTGAGTTTATTTATCATTATTAATAACTCTTCAAAAATAAAAGCTTAATGTAATTTTATTATAAAAGAGATATTGTATATTTAATCTGCATTTTTTTTGCTATTTAATCATGAGCACTAGGAATTCTAAGAGATCTGCTAATGATAAAACATTAACAATTGCTAAACCTGCTAAACAAGGCTATAAAAAAAAAAAAATATTGACCCCTCAAATCATAACTACTCACAAGTTAATCCAAAAAATATCAATAAGTGAGGTCATAAAAAAAAACAAGAAACAGTTGCATCATCATCTTCAAAAATTATTAACAACTTTTAAATGATACTAATAATCTACAAGGTGACTATATTATATTTATTTTGTTTAATCTATAGAAATTTATTGTTAGTTACAATATTTTATACTATTTTTAGGTGATGATAAAAAAGTTGCAAGTGTTGATGAATTATCTCAATCATCATTAACTCCTCCAAGACAACTTTCACCAGTCTTAGGAACAAGAATTGTATTTCAACTTTTATCATCACCTCCAAGACAACAGTCACCAACTCGAATTGGGCCTCAAGTAACTACACCTTTAAGACTACTATCTCTAGCTTTAGAGTCAAGAGTTATATCTTCAAGACAACTATTACTAACTTTAAGGTTAAGAATTAATACTCAAAATAACTTTGTTTTCTCAAATCAACTTTCGATTAATTCAATATTTACATCTTCAAGAATGTTATTAACTTCAGAATCGAATTTACTTAGTCAATTTGATTCCAATAGAATTACAGCTCCATAGGGGTGTGGTGACATAGAGTAGTGGTTAAGTTGTCACCCTCCCAAGCGTTAGATCTAGAGTTCGATTCCCACTGGAGACATTTTTCGAAAAATAGGCCTGTGTTCTGGTAACATTTATTCGACGATCGGTTGGATATATCATCTGTAATCTTGGTACTATTATCTTGAAATGAAAGCTTTAGAGTGATCCAAATCCAAGGAACTGAAATATTTGAAACCTGTTTGGCAAAGACCCGAGCTAGAAGTAGTGAAGATCTTTGATGATACTACAGAAAATCAGAACCGGAGACCGAAGAACTGGACGAACAACCCTGGGGCAAGATGGGTCTACCAATCTGGCCACCAGAGTCATACCAGAGAAAAAGGTCTGATGCTACAGAATTCAGAACCAAGAGAAGTAAAACCAGAAGGTACTTAGAGTCTAGGTACAACAACCCTTCCAGGCTAACTAGTTTGGTAGTTGAGGAGAGATCAGTATAAGGACCGGTTGAAAGTGGATATCGGGATCAGAATAAATCTTGTAAGGACAAGGAGTAGATAATAGTAGCAGTCATAATAACCACAAGTACCAGTTCTCGGATTGGGCATAAGTTACCAAAAATCTCAGATAATACATGTGTAGAACATGGACCACTTTTGTAGATTTACCACAAGGATAAAGTAGTCCTAAGGGCCTTAGTAGCAGGAACTCTTCTAAGGAAAGTATCTGATAGCACTAAGTCGATCAGAGAGTTTAAATAGGAGATCTACAAGCAGATCCTAGGTATGGCAATTGGTGGGTAACTATAGATAGTATTGCGGAGCCCTTAATTAGACAATGACTAAAGTTGTATATATGACTAATTGTATTTTCATTGATATAACAAAGTCAACGGGTACCTATTCGATATCCTGATAATTGAACTGAGAAGTTAATAAACTATACCAGACCCCCAAGTAGTCACCTTAATATTTTTAAAAAAAAAAAGTATTATAGCTCTATCACTATTTAATGAAATATCGTTTGTTTGTAGCTATGTGCGAATTCTAATATTTTGTAGCTTGTAAACAATATGAACTTATCAATGCAAACTTTAGCTACAAATTGCACACAATTTATGTCTTTTAACTCTATGACATTAATTATGATACTAAATCAAGATGACAAAGTAGGTTCTCTCCATTTAGACTTTTATGAATTATGAGCTATTTTAATTACAAAGAATTTATGTAATAGGCGAAGTCTAGTTGAGATTGTTTAGAAGAATTAAAGTATCTTTTTCTTCATGTTCAAAATCTTCCAAAAAAAGCAATTGAGGATTTAATATGACAAATTATTAAATACAATTTCAATTCAACTGAGAGCATTGAATGGCTTCAAATAGCTAAAAGACACTTTGGTGATTTTTGTAACAAATTAGTTAATAACATTGAAAATTTGATAAAAGACTTCAAAAATACAAGGGTACAGTTAGTATGTAATGCTATTTTTATTTTTATTTTATTTTGTTTTCCTTATTTAAAATGCTCTGTTTTCTCTACAATTGTAGTCCTATATCGAACTCATTACAGAAAGAAGAAATCATCATATTCGTGGATAAAGCTAAAATGACTGATATACTAAATTGGTGGTTGAGTGCCACAAATACAGATGAATTATATGCTCATAATTCAATATATCATTTACATAAGTTTGTTCAAAGCATATTTGCAATTAATTATATTTCAAGAGATACTGAAGTGACAAAAGTATTGGATAAGTTAACAAAAAATATTGCTGTTCTATTATGAAATGGCAAAAATTTTGCAAGTAATATAAAATTGTAATAGCTTGTTTTATTTTATTTAGATAGTAACAATTTATTCATTAAATAGTCTTGATTATATTAATCAGTAGTAAATTTAAAGCATTTAAGAGCAAATCCTTTGTATTAAATTTTATTATTAAAATTTACAGGCTTTAAATATATTTATGTTGGAAAATATATGATTCTGTTACTCCACAATTCATTTGTATAGTAACAAGAGAAAATTAATCTAATTATAGCCAATCACTATCTATGTAGCCAGTTGTCATAGTATAATGATATATTAGACAAACTTATCAAAATCATTCTCGATGTTAATATATTTATTAGATTATACGAAAAATTCAAATACAAAAAGCAATTCGAATCTTTAGTAAAGCTCTTTTATTTTTATTAAGATTATAAGTAGAATTTTAATTTTATTTATAATGCAAACTATTACTTCTTACAAATAAAAATTATCAATATTAAAACTTCCAAAATATGATTCTTCAAAGTCTGTTTCAAAAAAACTGAAATGCATTTCAGTGATAGTGGTAATTGCTAAAAAAAATACTTGATTTAAAGTAAATGAAAAGCATGGATATGATTTGGAACAACATAGTTGGTTTGAAATAATATTATTTAAGGTATTTAAAAATTCACAACATGTTGCCAAATTAGTACTATTTTTCATATTCGCCAAAACATTTGATGCAAATAACAAATGTTTAATTAATTAAGATATGAACTTAATAGTATTTCTAAATCCTTGAGTAATTTGGAAGCATTATCAAGTAAAAATGATAAAGGGTTGTGTAATAAATTTATATATAACAATATAATTAAATGAATTAAAAGTTTTCTTTGCAGTATTTATGTAATCTTACTTTAGTGTCAGAGTTAATTCTCAACCAGAATAACCAAAATTGTTAGTCGATTCTGAGAATCAGTTCAAAGTTCTCACGATTGCTTAACTGTTCTAGTGTTACCAACCTAAAAAAATTACGCCAAAAAAATTTCGCTGCTAGATTAGGATTAGTTTTGCTATTAATTTAGATCAGGAAAGTTTTTTTAATATTAAAATTTCACGAGAATAACATTTTGTTAATACACAGAAAGTGGTTTCATAGATAAAATATTGAATTATGATCAATTTTTGGCTTGTTTTGATTTTTTGTATTTCTTCTACGTGATATCTGATCTTGAAATTTGATTGGCCTTTAAAATTTTTTTTTTAGTTAGTGTCGTTTTATTATATATGTATATATAAAAAAAATTCTTATAGATATAACTATATTAATCTTCTGTCATAATAAATATCACTCATGACTACTTTCAGCATAATTTTTTATATATGAGTGCGTGAGAATGAAAACCTGTAACTGATCATAGTAAATTATTATAATTAGTTCCAGGTTTTTATTCTCATGCATTCATATTTATAATAATCATATTGCGACTAGAAATCTTCTCACAAAAACATTTCTAGTCTTTATATTGATTATCATAAATCTCTAGTATATATATTTTTTTCTTTAAGTTTTCAAACTTTATCATTATGCAAACTTTAATTTTTAGTTGTTATATGCTAAGCAAACTTTAATAAACACCAAGGTAAATAAATATAATTTATTACGTTATAAATTATAATATGCAAAAAATGTAAAACAAAACTCAAAAATAGCAAAGCACAATACGAATGTATGGAATAACAAAAAATAACAGTATGGAAGTCTGATTAATATCTAGTAACATGCTCCTGGAAAAATTATAGAAAAGGTTACTAATAGTCATAACATATGTATAGCCCAAAGAGCCATCTACATGCTATAACTGTCAGTAACCTCTCTTATAATTTTTACTTCCTTAGAAAATAAATGATACCAGTTGTTTTGAAATTTAAATTAACTTTGAATTTATTTAAATAAATTTAGAATCTACAAAATTTCAAATATATAGTATATTTGAACTTGATTTGATCAAATCAAATTAAATCAAATCAAATAATATTTGAAAATTTATAAAAATTTTAAAATTTTGTTATTTTTTTAATTTATATAAAATATTACTAAGCTAATTAATTTTGTATATTAAATAAAAAATATTTTTCTAATTAAAATACTTCTAGGCAAATAGAAAGAAAAGTGGTTATTTTAATAAAATCTCATATAAATAGCTATTATATTGATAATTTTAATAAAAATTAAACTAAATATTTAAATATTTGTCAAATAAATTAAATATTTTGTTAATTTGAATTTAATTTAATTTGAAATTTTTTATTTAAATTTAATTTGATATTAAATGTGGGGGATTATTGTAAAATTGGCTGAAGCTGAAAATTTGGGGGTCTTAATTTAGATTTATAAAATCTACTAAAACCCACTTATACATGTTTATTATAAATTCTATCTATAAAGCTGACCCCTAACCCTAAAAAAAGTCAAAAAAATGTATCCTAAAAATTTTTAAATTTTTATAATAAAATAGGTCAAATTTTCAGCTTTAGCCAATTTCAGCTTTAGCCACCACATTAAATATTTGATTAAATTAAATCAAATCAAATCAAATTATAGAACCCTACTAATTAAAATATCAAGAAGATAAATTTATATATATTTTTTTATTTATATCAATACTAAATTTATCTTAATTCTAATCTTAATATAATTAAAATAGTGAATTGCTATTTCCACTATAATAAATTGCTATTTCTACTATAGATTATACAAAAAAATATAAAAAATTCTATTTTTAAATAACTAATCAATTTTAAATAATTAATTTTTTAAAATTAAAAAAAAATTATTAAGTTAGAGTCTGTTAAGCTTCTAAGTAAAGTTGTAGAATATGTAGAGAACCAAGATAATAACGGTCAAACCAAACATACATAGCAGACTATAGAATCTTTTATAGCTGTGAGAACTGAGCTTAAAACGATGAGCAATCCTTTAAAAAAATATCCACCCAAGTCATTACCAACATCATTAGACTTCTATGACTTGGAAATATGCTACAACAAATTTCTTATCTACTACAAACTCCCCTTACTAAGAGAACCACAAACTGTCAACTTTTTTCTACAATATCTAATACAAAACAATGCTAAGCATTTTGTATTTTATGTCTTGATTACTATTAATAGTGACAAAACAGAAGTATATATATATTTATCTCATGAATCTAAAATGTTTCCTAATCATTATATTCAATCTATATATGACTCCTATGATATTCTCTTAAAATTACAATCAAATACATCTATTTATTCCTCTACTTATAATAACTCCTACAGATCTATGGACATTACTAATATATTCTCACTAACACCTACTAACAAAACAGAAGATATACTTAACAATAAAATATGCTCAGATAATTCTGAATCTATTCCTACAGAACTACTTTCATTTCTACAAAACCCTTGTGATGAGGCCTTAAACTCATCTACTTTATCTCCAGTTCCTACAAACAACACTTCTATTAACTATATCACTAATCAACAGACCAGCCATGTTAGAGATTTGTATCTTAATATTGCAACACATAATATTCGTGGTTTTAATATAATCACTAAAAGAAAAACCTGGCAAAATTACTGTCTTGATTATAACATTAGTATTGCTTGCATTACTGAAACAAAAATTTTAGAAAAATCTAACTTATTCTTTTATAATAATAATCTTTTTATATATTTCTGGGCTAATTCAGATAGCTCAGCAGAAAGTGCTGCTATTATAATATGCAACTTTCTCTAACCACATATTTACAATTGTCTTATCCACCCTGGTGGTGCTATTGCTATTGATCTATTCTTTAAAAGCAATATTAAGCTTCACATTATCTAGGTCTATCTTTCTTCTACAGATATAACAAAAAAGACTACTACCCAAACTACTATTATTAATTAGATTCATCTGCTTTACAATATAATCTTTATTCTATTATCCTTAGAGATTTCAATATACATAATTTTAACTTCAGTTCTTTAGCAAAATATAGACTTATAAATTTTTTATACCATTCTAACATGTATGATATTGATACACACGTTGTAACACTCACTATACATAGTTCAACAACACTTACTCTAGCAGAATTGATTATATCTAAACTGATTAGTTTAATATCAAGTTTCTCTTGTCATATAAACTAGATACTAGTGATACTAGTACTCGCAGTGATCATCTTTTACTTAATACATTTAGATATTTCCTAATGCTTATAGCAAACCTCCTCATTTGCATACAGATATTAGCTGTCGTATATTTAATTATAAAGATATAACCTCAAAAA